AATCACAATACGAACACTACCCCTATACAACCGATGGGGTCACCACGGACTCACTGACTAGCAAGACCCAAAACCAACTCATCTCAAGATCACGGGTCAAAGACAAAGCTCATAAGATGGAGTAGGTTATCCCTACCTCGAATGATGGGGCTCAACGAAGGAGATGAAGAAACGGAAATGCTCCAAATCCCGAAATTTTCAGATTAAAAGATAGCCCTCTACGATCAACACAACTTTTGTAAAGGCCCAAGGTGAGAAAACAACTCCTACTAGATCAAACCTAAGAGAGAAGTTAGGGTTTTAGAGTGAGGTGCTCTTCAATGGAGGTTTTGAAAAAGTAAGAGAGAGAAAGGAAATCAAAAAGTGATCAAAAAAGTGATTTCACGGACTGATATAAAAACAGGTCCGCTCGAGCTACAACACCCCGCTCGAGCGTCAGACACAGGTTCACACTCGAGCGTCCAAAGATCCGCTCGAGCGCCGGATGCACTCTCCCAGAATTTTCTGCAGACGTCCAAAATGCTGAGAGAAGGAAATTCAGGCTCGAGCGTCCAAACTGCCGCTCGAGCGGAAAGGCAACAACAAAAGCCCGCTCGAGCGTCAAATCACCGCTCGAGCGGAGAGACCAAAACCTGGGCAAAGATTCAAAGCTTTAAAACACAGCCAACTTATTCCCAACTTGCCCAACACAACCCAAGGCTCTACAACAAAGAGTAAGGGATCAAAATGAGGATAAGACCATAACTAATCTACGGAACCAAGTCCGGATTACCGTTTCATAACAACAGGGAATACCGGGATCGCTATATTGCTCCACCATATTATTTTTGTCGTTTTCTTCTTGTTCATTGTTTTCAGTGTTTGTGGTTGCTTTTAGTAAGGGGGAGTTTGGTTCATCTTGACTTGGGTTGGTTTATGATCTTGCTTTTGTTGTTGGTTTATGATCTTGCTTTTGTTGTTGGTTTATGATCTTGCTTTTGTTGTTGGTTTATGATCTTGCTTTTGTTGTTGGTTTATGATCTTGCTTTTGTTGTTGGTTTATGATCTTGCTTTTGTTGTTGGTTTATGATCTTGCTTTTGTTGTTGGTTTATGATCTTGCTTTTGTTGTTGGTTTATGATCTTGCTTTTGTTGTTGGTTTATGATCTTGCTTTTGTTGTTGGTTTATGATCTTGCTTTTGTTGTTGGTTTATGATCTTGCTTTTGTTGTTGGTTTATGATCTTGCTTTTGTTGTTGGTTTATGATCTTGCTTTTGTTGTTGGTTTATGATCTTGCTTTTGTTGTTGGTTTATGATCTTGCTTTTGTTGTTGGTTTATGATCTTGCTTTTGTTGTTGGTTTATGATCTTGCTTTTGTTGTTGGTTTATGATCTTGCTTTTGTTGTTGGTTTATGATCTTGCTTTTGTTGTTGGTTTATGATCTTGCTTTTGTTGTTGGTTTATGATCTTGCTTTTGTTGTTGGTTTATGATCTTGCTTTTGTTGTTGGTTTATGATCTTGCTTTTGTTGTTGGTTTATGATCTTGCTTTTGTTGTTGGTTTATGATCTTGCTTTTGTTGTTGGTTTATGATCTTGCTTTTGTTGTTGGTTTATGATCTTGCTTTTGTTGTTGGTTTATGATCTTGCTTTTGTTGTTGGTTTATGATCTTGCTTTTGTTGTTGGTTTATGATCTTGCTTTTGTTGTTGGTTTATGATCTTGCTTTTGTTGTTGGTTTATGATCTTGCTTTTGTTGTTGGTTTATGATCTTGCTTTTGTTGTTGGTTTATGATCTTGCTTTTGTTGTTGGTTTATGATCTTGCTTTTGTTGTTGGTTTATGATCTTGCTTTTGTTGTTGGTTTATGATCTTGCTTTTGTTGTTGGTTTATGATCTTGCTTTTGTTGTTGGTTTATGATCTTGCTTTTGTTGTTGGTTTATGATCTTGCTTTTGTTGTTGGTTTATGATCTTGCTTTTGTTGTTGGTTTATGATCTTGCTTTTGTTGTTGGTTTATGATCTTGCTTTTGTTGTTGGTTTATGATCTTGCTTTTGTTGTTGGTTTATGATCTTGCTTTTGTTGTTGGTTTATGATCTTGCTTTTGTTGTTGGTTTATGATCTTGCTTTTGTTGTTTGAGAGTTGTTTTTCATGAGTCTTAGTTTTCATCTATTCATGTTTTCCATCTTATGTTTCAAGATAATCTTGTCCTATGTTCATTGTTTTTTCTTATACTCTTGTGGGACTAATAGTTGTTTTGGAGATTATGGCACTAATAGCTATTTTGTAGATCATGACCTTGAGAAAGAAGTTTGTTTTTGTTGGCTGTAATGGGTTGGGTGTTTAGGATTTTATTTGTTAGGCGTGCTTTGTCACGGCATTGCCAAAGGGGGATCCCGTTTGACAAGGATTTCTTTAAGAAGTTGATTTTCTTCCAAAACTAGGATATCCAAAAGTAATTGGATTTCTCCCAAAACTAGGATTACTTTTGTATTTTCTATAAATAGTTGGTTTTCTCCCAAAACTATTTAATTCCTCCAGATCTTCTTTTTGGCTCTTAAGGTTTATATCTGGGAATATTTTGTTAGTTTTCTTTGATGTTTTATTGAGTATTCAACTCATGGTTTAAAGAGAGTACATCAAAGGTTTTGTTTGTTCTCTACAAGAGAGAGAGAGAGAGTTGTTCTTCGGTGGATTCTGAAGAATTTGAGCCTGAAACTTCGGTGGATTCTGGAGTGGCTCATCGTAAAGACAATTCCGAGGTGAAGACGGGGTTGGAAGAGGCACATAGAGGTTGGTTCAATTAGGCGTGGATTCGCTAGGTAATTGAGAGTATACCTGTGTAATTCCTTTAAATCTTCTTAGTGCTCTCATGTTTGAAACTGAAACAGACCAGCAACAACATAATCAATCCCCCCTTGTTGCTTGTATAAATATTGTCATGCTCAAGGATGCACCTCCTTAACCATTTATATTGACACCTCAATACAATATGAAAGATTGAAATAGTATCAAATGTTGATTATTTAAGGAAATAGCTTTTAAAAATATTAACCTAGAAGATTATCATATCCTTACAAGAAAATCTAAATCATAATTTAGAATGCTCTATTAGTTTCCTTATGAAAAATTGAACTCATATCAACTGAATATTACGACATAAAGGCCTCAGCATATCATGGTGAAGAACACAAAACAATATTGGATAAAAAAACATGCACCAGAAAAAATAAACACACCACCTACGTGAAAAAAGGAATGTAGTTGTCCAAATATTACTCCAATTGCAAGAGCGATTGTACAAATGAAATAAGTAGATTATTAAACCAGATCACTCTACAAGAAAAGTGTATGACTTGAACAGAATCCAATATCTAACTAAAAGGGACACAGATTTGGCCACTAGAGAGGACAATCACAATGCTACTAGGTATAACCGAAGGTTCCTCTTGTTTCTTTCATACCAGAAACACAATAACCGCTTTGCCAACATACTCTCAAAGCAATTTCTTCCGTTAATCCAGCCCCAAGAGAATTGAGACAACACATCCATCTCATCCCCTCTTACAGTCCATGCTCTACCTTTCACTCTCTCAGGACTGCTCAAACTTCTTATCATTCGAATTGCAAAACATCCTTGCTTGACCGAGTAATGGCTACACAATGTGTATTTTTGGAATGT